AGTAATTGGGTCGTAGGTAGGCATAAGAGCTAAAATGCAAACCAGTATGGCGCTCGCTTTTTTTACGCACGATTTACGCACATATGCAAGTCAAAAGCTGCGTTTTTTGGTTAGAAAACTTGATGTGTTAGGGTGGTAAACAAAAAATTCGGAGATGTTCAACGTCCCATGCCTCTCTCATGTTGTAATCTATGGGTATGGGTTTTCTAATTAAGTTATATGTACTCTTCTGCAGTAAGAGCTTAATATGCACTGCATTGTGTCGCCCTTCATTGTGATTTATGTTTAGGGGGGTGTTTTCATTAGTTTTAACAACACATTGAGGTGTTAATATTTATGAAAAGCCTTTTACGTACGTTTTTCCACGTTTTTACGCCAGACAACAATCCTCCACACGTGTTTCCCAAATCAGGCTCTTATATAAATCAAGTTAACTAGCCTTTTAAACATGAATTCATAAATAATTATACATCACAAGTGATTTCCCCACATACATGGGTATTCCTCGCGTTAAATCCTCTTTCATCTCTGTTATAACCTAATGGGTCAGGTTATGTCATGCTGAATTCCTTTTGCTCCAGGTTTGGGCGACAGGTAGTGAAATTTATTAAGTGTTGGCCGCCTGCCACAGCGGTAAGTAGACCAACACCTTGCTATTCTGCAGCCAAGCTCCAGCCTCTTAGAAAGGGGGGGGTTTATCAGTAAGGGCAAGTCGAGCTGCTTTACACCCTGAGGAATACATAATGCTTGTGTTTGCATTACGCGTGTGCTACTCTGTGACTACGGGGGCGAAGATGAGGGTCAAAATGTTTTAGTAGGAAATCTGAGGTTACCTGGTTCCGTATCAGATATTGACCTATTATTCTCCAGTTACATATTTTCCTTTGCAGTTAATGTAGCGTGCCTACAGACGCAGTGTCCATACATTGATTGTTAATTGTCTTATGGAGCCCTCATGATAACCCTTGTGCTTTGCAGTAGGGAGCAGATTTATCAAAATGTTGTGATGTGTTCGCAGCGCACATGAAGAGAGAGAGAGAGAGAGTCGATAATAAACCCCTATTTAAGTAGTGAAGCAGAGCATATTTATCTAGTAAACTGTTTGCTCACCATCCCCACCCCCTCTTGATGGTTGAAACTTCTGTTATCAGCTGTGTGCGTGTTGTCAAACGGTTTTGCTTTCACTCTCACTCTCCTGTATCTCTCTCTCTATATATATCTCTCTCTCTCTCTGTGTGTAATGGATTACTGATTGACATCCTCCTCTCCTCCCTGACAGTGGAGAGTTGCCCCGGAGACAAGAGTCCTCCGGGGTCAGCAGCATCGAAGAGGGCCCGGACAGCTTACACCAGCGCCCAGCTAGTGGAGCTGGAGAAGGAGTTCCACTTTAACCGGTACCTCTGCAGACCCCGGAGGGTGGAGATGGCCAACCTGCTCAACCTCACAGAGAGACAGATCAAAATCTGGTTCCAGAACCGCAGGATGAAATACAAGAAGGATCAGAAAGGCGTCGGAATGATGCCTTCCCCTGGTGGACAGTCCCCTCGGAGCCCCGTGGGTCCGGCCTCCGGCGGCGGAGGGGGCGGTGGATACCTCAACTCTATGCATTCTCTTGTAAACAGTGTACCTTATGACTCCCAGTCGCCGACGTCTTACAATAAACCTCATCAAAATGCATACGGTATGGCCACGTCATATCCCCCTCCCTTGAACAGCTCCCTCAACAACTGCCCGCCCTCCCAGAAGAGGTATCCCGGGACCGACTCGGCCACGCCCGAGTATGACGCGCATCCTCTCCAAGGCAATGGCAACTATGGGACGCACATGCAGGGTAGCCCTGTTTATGTCGGCGGAGGTTACATCGACTCAATGCCCAACTCTGGGACCTCCGTTTTCGGTCTGACCCACCTCCCGCACCCGCCGTCCACAAACATGGACTACAATGGAGCAATCACAATGGGCAACAGTCAGCATCACGGAGTGTGTGATCCGACACCGACGTACACAGACCTAACGCCGCACTACTCTCAGGGAAGAATCCAGGAAGCGCCCAAACTGACGCATCTGTAGCGGTGGCGCTGTCCGGATCACTCCGCCCATTGTCTTATCCACCTCCAGACACATTACTGCTTTGTTTCCGCGCCTCCTCACGGCTCCCACCTTCTCTCTGCTTTTGTTTATGTTTTCTATAGTTTGATGTGTGAAGTAGCGTAGGATAAATAATCACGACTTGCTTGAATTTTTCTCTATTTGCTCGTGTCATTGTCTCACAAAGACCTTTATCTGGGCTGTAGGACGTCTAGAGCGGGAGGGAGGGGGGCACAGTATATGCATAGGCCTATTTAATCTTTTTTTTTTTTAAATCAAACAGGGTATTATGAACATATGTTATTCATTTTTAATGTGAATTTGTCCGTCTTTTATTTATCCGCAGTTGAAGAATTGTGTTTTGCATTTTGTTGCACTTGTGAAAGGATCCTTCAAGAGCCACGAGTTGGGATTTATGAGGGGTATACATTTTCAGAAACAAGGGTCATGCGCTTACACGCAACCTCCCTTGCTTGTGTTGTTCTATTGGACTTTCTAATGTTATTTATTTTGTTCGGTGTAAAGATAAAACAGTCCTTTAGTATTATTTGACACCTCTGCGATCTCTGTGTGGGGAGAAGGTTGGTGGAAAATTAGCGTCTCGGCCCTTTTCCAGCCCATACATATAGTCTGCAGAAGCTCCTCAACAGCAGCAGCAGCAGCAGCAGCACGCCATGATGCTATTATAGGCTATGTTTTCCATTTTTTTTCTTCTTCGAGGAGGTGTTTTCTTTTCTCAGCGAATGTCAAATCAATCAGTCATGCAATAAGGGTGGAAAGAAGGACACACGTTAGCAGTTTCTTTATTGAAGGAAAAAAGAAACAGACATCATCAATTTTTTCTTTTCTTTCGATGTCATACATTCCATGCTGCTCCAGTTCGAAGAAATAAATAAAAGAATTGAAATATAATTGCAGCAAACCTTGTAGTTTTAATTTGGACACAACAGAAGGATTTCACGTGATCACAAAATTAGATAGGAAACAGTTTCTTAAATAAAAAAATGCCAAAATATATTTCTAGTTTTGCAATTATTACGTTTTATTATTGTTCTTATATATTTCATACGGTGCAGAATTGTAGAGGTGATAATACAAAAGAAAAACATATTTTTAAACAATTGGCACTATAATAGGAGGGCAATACAATAAACATTTTAGTAGTTCAATAAAAAACAACTGATGATAATTGGTAAATATTTATATTTGCTTCATATTCATGCATATAAAATAATATGAAAACAGGGAACATATTTCATATTCAATAACATAAAGGGAAATGGCCGCAGATAATGTCGAATATTGAATAAACGCTACTTGATTTTTTCTCCCTTCCCCTTGACTCGACGTGAAGAAAACTCTCGGGTGGCCTTTCTTCCCTCCTCTCATCTGCGTGGGCACATCCATAATAATAAAAATGTCACACGGGCCCTTCATGGAGATTCTGCAAGAAGACAACAAGCTAAATGAGAAATCGTTTGAAAAATAATTCCCTTATATGTTCAGTCAGTCAAATGCGGGCACAGAGGATACAGGCTGAACTAGAATCATAATGGGGCTTATTTGTCTCATTATTCTACAGATTTGTAGATGCCAGTTCAATATGAAATGCCTCAGTTATGTGGATGGTTACAGCAAAGGAAATTATTAGAGAAATGCCTAAAACCGGCGGTGTATTTCTCTGTGTGTGTGTGTGTATGTTGTACAAATGAAGGATTTACATAGAATATAATGTTATTTTTTTTCTTCTGTCTATATTATTTTCATTGTTTGCAGTAATTTCTTGGTATTGCTGAATTTTTAAAAAATGCAATACATGCACACATGGAACTAAAATGCTTTCATTATTTTGTAAACCTTTAATTCATTTCAGGAAGAAAGACAAATCTTTTTAGCATGCTCAAAGACATTTCTACGTTTCTCATCAAATGATCCTAAATATTTTTGTACCATGTTTACTCTTTGTGATAATGTTATGCCTTTGTGCAACTGCAGTGTTATTTGTTCTCACAGATTTTGCACCAAGAAATCATTTTCAGCCCAATCTGATTGATATAAGAGGGCATGAACATTAGTAGCCCTGACATATGGTTAGCAGGGAAACCTAGAACAATTGAACCATGGTGTGTCACAGTAAAAAAAAAAAAAAAAAGAGGCTCATGCACTGAGTATTTCTGCATCCAGCACAGACACACACTGAGAGATACACGCGCACACGTGCACACGCATACACAGCAAGACACTGATTTGACCCATATGTGCCATACACAGGTAGCACATAAATAACATTTTGACTGAAACAGAAGATTTGTATTTGTTTCATTGCATTTCCATCCGTGGGAAAGTGGTCCTAAATCAATCCTGCTGTAAAGACAAGTGTGTAGGACAGGCTGGGGTCCACTAAATGCCGCCACCCACTCCTTTCCTTGCACACAAAGCCTGTGCGTAATTCCAAAAAAAGCCATCCATCTCTTCCCCTAGCAACTCTGTCCTTCACCGCAAGGTCTGGTCCCCTCACAAACCTGCACAACTACCAAAACGACAAATACATGTCGTTGTGTAAATGCACATTCACAATTCAAAGATAAAAGCCAGGTGAAGCTGCTTCGCCCTACTCACCGTTGGCGCATTACCTCCTCCTCAAGAAAGGAAATGGTCCCATCTTGTGTAGCTGGATTCTTATTTATCTTTTAAAACATCCCTCCAGCGACAGCCCGGCTATAACTGCAAGCAGAAACTGGTTCTAATCTGAGTGGCCAGTGTTTCTCGCTGCTTCCTGGCTGCATTTGATCCGGGGGAGAGTTAGAAGCCTTAAATGTGTTGTGAGGGCACCGAGCTGTCAGACCTTTTGGCGAGTAAGATTGATCGCGCACAGGCTTCCAGGACTCTTTGTTTGGTATATAAGCAACAAACTGAGAGAGGCCTACCACTTCTCTTCTTTCCTCTCTCTTACTCACTAAGCCATCATTATTATTTTTTTTTTGAATGAATGAAAATACAACATGTACTGCTTGACGAAAAACATCCTAAATGTGGCTTTCACAGATTATTCTGGAAGGGTTGTAAAACCACTGCAACACTGCGGGGAAGAACCATTCAATAACACTTCCATCTACATAATAACGTTGCAAATGGATTCGTTGTAAATGGTCGATTGTGAACATGTTTGGTGTTTGCTTCATTGCAATTTCAGGTAGAACTGATAGTGGAAATACAGTGAGGTGCCTTTCTCAGCATTGTAGCTGCTGTCCTCCCAGTTACCCCTGCTCTAGCCTTGTGGTTTTCCACTCTTAACACGAGGATGAAACCATTCTAAATATTAGGATTATAAAATATATTAAAATAAGCTAACAATTATGCCAGCTTTTGGTTAAAGAAAAAAAAAGAACATTAGCAGTCACAAAATGAAGAATGTGAAGTCTTTGTATGTCCACACACCGCATGACCTCCTTATAAAATCGACATTTTGTGGAATAAACGAAAAAAAAAAAAATCTGTATCTATAGAGGAAACATTAACAACCTATGACGAACCTGTGCTTGTGAGCGTGCGTGCATACATGAGTGTGGTCTGTTTACAAGTTTCTGGACCCTATCTGTAAACGTTAAACAACTGTTATGGGATGAAATGGTCTGGACGTGTCATATTTGTCAGTATAAACTTAACGGATGGGCTTTTTATTGCAACACATGTCAATGGATGCACTGCATATGTCTTTATTATGCATCTTTGAAGAATCACATCTATTCTGGAGTCCACACTCACTGAACAGACTGGATTGTTGGGGTTTGCTCCTGTTGCAAGCCTCAATATCAGTTTTTTAGGGGAAATTTTTTTTCAACTTTGAAGCCAGGCTCTTGCCTATATGAATAGCTACTGGCGTGAAATGTGTGTGTGTTTGTCTCTGTGTGTGTCTGTGTGTGTGTGTGTGGGGTGGGGGCGTTCTCGACTGACATCCTCAAACAATACGAGAAAGAGGAGTGCACGAATCCGCGCACCCTAGGCTGGGCTCCTTCCCTGTAATAGTGAGCGTCAGCCATTCTTAAAAAACACATTTTGTAGCTTAGTGGACTGGACTGGAGGGGCAAGAGGAGGATAAACTGAGCGGACAAAGATGTAAATAAAAATAGTCGTCCCCCAGCTGAGCGAGGCGTTCTTCACCAGAGTTTTTGGATCAATCAGGCAGACAGTGGCTTCTTTTGATTAAACCCCAAATTGTCATTGGGCAGAGGTAATCATGTGACAGGCAATTCGGTCCAATTTCAACCTTGTCTCCATGAATTCAATAGTTTAATAGTAGCTCGGTCCCCATACGGCCGTAATCAGTGAAATAGAAAAAACACCACCAGGAGATTTTTTTAATGATTTTTTCTCTCTCGTCCTCGCTGAGCCGCAACATTTATAAAAATACGCGTGCAAACTTTCCTCGGCTCTCAGGGAGCGGAGATGAATTACGAATTCGAGCGAGAGAGCGGTTTTATCAATAGTCAGCCGTCGCTTGCTGAGTGCCTGACATCTTTCCCCCCTGTCGCTGATTCATTTCAAAGTTCATCAATCAAGAGCTCGACGCTTTCACGCCCGACACTGATTCCTCCTCCCTTTGAGCAGACCATTCCCAGCCTGAATCCGGGCAGCCATCCGCGGCACGGCCGGCCCAGGCACAGCCCCGACGGATGCAGCCCGCTGCCCACAGCCTCTTTACCCCCGGAGTACCCCTGGATGCGGGAGAAGAAAGCTTCCAAGAAGAACCACCTGCCGACCTCCACCGCTACCACCATTTCCAATGGACCAGTGTGCTTCTCCCCGAAAGGTGGGTAATTTCAAAACACTTAGAGGAAAAGTGTTTACTATCTGTTGCTACAATTGAAGCTCAGCACACAGGCCTCTCTTAACAAAAAAAACAAATACGCATGGAGACGTTTTATTCTGATTTATGGTTATTGCTTTGCTGTAATTGTGTATGAAGCAAGAAAAAAAAAGTTTGGGTAAAGTTTGGTGATGTAAGATGATTTATTCCCCTAGCCGAAGCAGAGTTTTGATGTGTGACAGTAATGAAGAGTGATGGAGTGCCGTTGCCGAGGAGGGCAGCTGGAGCATTCATTAGTATCCCACACCAGGCTGGACCTCACTGCTTTTATAGTGCACTGTGTTTGCTCCACGCTCATGCTTGGACGTTATTTTATGTGTAAAACAATCTGACGAGTATCTTCATGCTTTAATGATTTTGGGATAAAAAGGTTTACATGCCATAAGCTTGGGTCAGTAGCGCCAGCGGCCATTTTGCTGCAGCGAGTTGTGAGCCACTCTCTAGTGGTTTGTGACAGCCATAATGTTAGACTCATGGGCAGCGGGGGTTATGTAACTGTTGTGTCCTGCGTTTTAATCCCAGGCTACCGTGATGCTTATTTTCCAGGCTCGCCTGAGATTGTGGAGAGCGCCGGGGGAGGAGGGGGCTCCCGTCGGCTGAGGACAGCGTACACCAACACACAGCTGCTAGAGCTGGAGAAGGAGTTCCACTTCAACAAGTATCTGTGCCGGCCGAGGAGGGTGGAAATAGCGGCCCTGCTGGACCTGACCGAGAGGCAGGTCAAAGTCTGGTTCCAAAACCGGCGCATGAAGCACAAGCGACAGACCCAGAGTAAGGAGAACCACAACGGGGAGGGGAAAGGGCCGGGAGCCGAGGACGGCATCCACAGCGACGAGGAGGACGACGAGGCCCCCCTGTACGAGCGGAGCGGGGCCCTGCTGGAGAGAGATACCTGCTCCTTTCAGAACAATTCTCTCAGCTCCACACAGCAGCTCCACAATGGCGAGTCCATGGGCTTTTCTGCTGCGCCGCTGAACAGCAATGACAAAAATCTGAAACATTTTCCCAACCCGTCACCCACTGTTCCGGGCTGCATGTCAACAATGGGCCCAGGCTCGGCATCTGGCCCGGACAATGGCGACAGTCCCCCGGCCCTGGATGTTTCTATACACGATTTTCAACCTTTCTCCTCGGATTCCTGCCTACAGCTCTCCGACGCAGCCTCGCCGAGCTTGTCAGAGTCTCTGGACAGCCCCGTGGACATTTCTACGGACAGTTTCTATTTTTTCTCGGAGTCCCTAACTACAATCGACCTGCAGCATCTGAACTATTAACTGAAATCCATCACAGTAACTTTTCAGTCTTTGGGGACAATAAATATCAGGCTACGGTGGTATTAACTCTGATGTTATTTGTATATTCGGCACATTTATTCTGTTGATATTTGACTTGACGATTAATACAAGGTAAGGATGAAATGAAATCACTGAAATAGCTCTACTCAAACGTGACTTGTAATAACCATAACAAATTGATCTCTTGGAATGGAAATTATGAGTGTATGTGAATAATTATACAATATTAGGCCTATGGAACCTGGTAATTTTTATTTTTGTATAGCTTCCAATGTCTTGGATATTTTTGTTAGAATACAATTAACTTGCTACAATCTCTTTTTCTGGTGTTTTGAGTCCTTTATTTTTCTATTTACAGACTGGCTATTTTTCTTGAATTATTCATGTGGAAAATATGCAAAATAAAGGAAATAGGGCATAAAAAGATAGAGACGTTATGCAAATTTAACAACAGGTTGGCAATGAATATAAATAGTCTGGTCCGCGTTGAGCTGTGAGAGCACATACATGTTTGAATTTTACTTTCATTGTAGAATTTAATTTCAACATAATATATTTAGAGATTGATTTAAATGGTTTACTGAAACATAAGCAGTCTGTCTTCTTCTTTTTATCAAATTAATGCCAAGGTAGCCGATTTTCTTATTTAAAACTTTGGTGACCAAACTTTTTTTTTTAAAATGTAGTGAAATTACTTTTAAATATCTCCAAATTAGCAGACAATTAACAAATTATTCATGCTAAATAGTTGCATTTGTTTTGCTGAAATTACTTTTGATTTTTTTTAAGAGTTAAACAGAAACGTTTGCACCATTTCATGCTGCCTACAGAAACCCCAACGCAGATCATTTTTATTTCCACCTTCAAACTTTATACTTTGCAGAGTGAAAGCAAATATGCCCGCATGGATCTTAGCATGACAGGGCTCTTAACATTGTGTGCATGTTGCAGGCAAATACCCCAGCCATGTTTGCCTTCAGGAGCTCATAAATCACTCCGTGGCATGAATGAGACGGACATTAAGGAGACCAATTGTGGCGTAATGTGCACAAATAAAACCCCACTTACATTTTCATACGGGACTCCTCGATTCCTGGGCTAAAAGGGGGCTGAGTCTCTGCATGCGTTTGGTAATAATTCATTTTTATAGCTTGTTTAAACACGGCTCTGGCTCGGCGACAGCAGCAGCATGCAGTAGCTGCCTGCTCAGGTTATGAGGCTGCACTTTTTCCCCGTGTGTTAAAAGTAGCCCAAACTCAAAACAGACTACTCCTGTACTACATGTAATTTATCAAACATCGATTTACTAAGAATAGCTGCGAGGAGATGATCATTATGCAATATTTGGCTTACTTTATCAAGAGAGTTTGGTCGCTTGGACGGGGTTTTACAACATTACTGGGTGCTGGAGAAAGTCTTGGAGTTCAATATAGGGATTATGAATGGCCTTGCTCTATTGTATTGCTCTCGAGTTGACTTATGGGAATCAGTTATAAGCTCATTTCCAGCTTGACTCAATAGGTTACTCCACTACAGCAGCTTTGTGTGTGAGAAACGGCTAAAAACAACCACCGGTTGCAAAGCCGGCCTGCACGGATCGATCCAGAAACACGCGCGAAATTCACAAAGCTCGAGAGTTCAGCTGCGGTTTATCGAATAATCTGGAAGCCATAAGCAGCCCATCGACTGGCTCACCATTAGCCTACTGGTTAACTAGAGTGTGTGTATCAATGTGAGTGAGTGTGTGTGTGTGTGTGTGTTTAAGGAGGGGGTATAGGGGTAAAAGGCGGGGGCGTGTGTGGGGGGGGAGCAGATCCTACACTCCTACACTCCAGCAACCAAGTGACTGACCGCAGGGCCGATATAACCAAATCATTCCGAGACAGCGCGCCTTTTCTGCGCACATGTGTTCACACAAAGAGCCAAGCGAGCTCCAAGGCCTAGGAGTTCCAGGCAAGGCAATGATCCACTGCGCCCACTCACTACTGTTGCAGGGGCAGCTGGGAAGACAGAGAGGAGAGAGAGGAGGGGTGGGTGTTATTGACCCCACTGCGCTTTTTGCACTGGTGGGAAGTTTGCATGCCTCTTCGCTTTCTTTAACATTCCATGAGCTTGAAATAGATAGAAAACTTCTAGGTTTCAAATTTGAAAGGACGGTCACGTCTATATTTAGTAGGCTACCTATATACCTATATTTAGTCTTATTTACATCTAAACTTAAAAGCAGTGGTGGAAGAAGTATTCAGATGCTTCACTTGAGTAAAAGTAGCAGTACCACAGTGTAGAAACACACTCAAACTTGACATTAGGTAGAAGTATTAGCAACAAAATGAAAAAAAAGCTATAGTAAAAGTAATCAATAGGCAGCAGAATGTCCCCTGCTGTGTCACATGTTATATTATCGGAATGTTATTACTAACATAAGGGGAAATAAACAGCATTTTAATAATGCAGCTGACCATGAGGTGCTAAATTCCTGGGTAGTTTAGTTGATTACAATGTATTATTTCATACACTTATCATAGGTTGTCAGTGTAAACACTTAATCTGTACAGTAACTAAGCCTATCAGATAAATGGAGCAAAACATACAATATTTCCCTTTGAAATATAGTGGAGTATAGGTACAAACTAGCATGGAATAGCAATACTCAAGTGAAGTAGACTACCTAGTTTAGTTTAGTTAGTAACTGAGCACTTAAGTACTCAATTACTTTAAACTACCTCCTCAAATGTTCCTTTGAACGCACAATGAAGTCTATCACATATATAATTTAGGCTGTTTTACAACATACGGCCAACGGGGGCGCTCATCCCTCCATGTGATCCTCTCTTCCTTCCTCCTTCCCTCCTTCTCCCCTCCCCTTTTTTTCCCTTCCTCAGTGAGAGGTTGCCCTGCCATACCGCAGCTCTCCCACGCACCCTCTCCCCCTGCTCTGGCTTCTTTTCTTTTTTTTTTCCCAGCACAGCTTTCCGTGGCCATTAATTTCTCCAACAGCTTTATTTGATGAACTTAACAGGATAATCAGCCCACACTCGCACCTCGGGCTATATGGGCGCATTAGCTCCATGACGGGCCTCGCATTATCAGATCATTTGATCACTATACATGCATAATGAATACATGTGGGAGTGAAATCAGAGTAGATAGCAGACCCTATGACCCTGGGAGAGAAAAAAATTAATACCACATCATCTTAATGTTTAATATGTTGTCTTGTCGTTACATCACCTGCGACCTCCCAGCAAGTACTGAAAATCAGCTAAACATTTCTAATGCGACCTTGATGGGGAACAAAGTTATATATATATATAAAAAACTGAATTGAAGTACTTTTTGCATGTGTCAGGAGTGAAACCGTCCTGCCTCTCCCTCACTGTCACCCTGTGACAATATTTGCTGAGCAAATCCATCGCAGTGTTAAAGCGTGAAACACTTCGCATTGGAATGGGACACTGATAGCCCACCATAGCCTGTGGCAGTGTCATACACACACACACTGAGCTATCCATCCATCCAGGAAAGAATGATACTATTATACATGACATCACGGCTGTTATGTGCGGGCGAAGACAGACTCACAGAGGGCACGTGCACAACCGCGTGCACGCACACGCACCAACACATACACGCACGCACGCACACCTATTCTCCTCTCAGTTCCAAAAATACCGTACCTGAGGTCAGAGTGCTGGGTCGTCCTCGTGGAGAGGTTGCAGAGGGTGAAACGTTAATCTTTCCCCGGACGGGAGAGCTCACAGCGGGGGGTTGAAAGACGCCGTGTGTGCGGTTCCTCGCTCTTCATGCGACCCCGGAGCCGTCCACCGCCGTCTGCCTCCCAGCTCATTGTTTGCTCGGCCAATACATTAGTGGCGACGCGCGTCACCTTGATCGACGAGCGCCTGGAATTTAAATAGCCACTCAAACACCAATCTGTCACCGGCTAAGGGGATAAGGACAAGTACCTCACTGGCTGACCCGGGCCCACGTGACAGCACCCGTTCATTGATATCGGCCCGTGCGCCCCCTCCCTCCCCTGATCAGGACAGAGTATAGGTAAAGGTTGGCACGGTCACTCAGGGTAAGAGGGGAGAGAGGAAGAGATCAGAGGGTGTCTGTAGAGCGGACTGTCCCTCGGCCCCGGTAGAACAATGCTACAATGAGCACCTTCTTAGACTACTCGGTGATGAGCGGTGAAGGTGGCTCGTGCTCTGTCAGGGCTTTCCACTCGGACCACGGGATTACAACTTTCCAGTCCTGCGCGGTTACTGTCAACAACTGCGGGGCCGATGACCGCTTCATGGCGAGCAGGGCTTCCCCTGACGGCATCCCTCACCAGCCGGGGTCATACCAGTCTACTGCGACCTCATTGGGTCTTGCCTATGGGGCACATCCGGCCTGCAGCTCCAGCTATGGACCCCAGAGTTTCTGCACAAGCTATAACCATTACGCGCTCAACCAGGAAGTAGACTCCACAGCGGGATTCGCCCAGTGCGGCCCGCTGATGTACTCGGGTAACATTTCCTCCTCCATGGTCTCTCAGCATCGCCAAGGTTACAGTGCCGCCCCCCTGGGTCAGCTGCAGTATGCCCACGCTGCCTATGGCGGCGGGCACGAGCAAGCAACTCCTTTTCCTGGGTGCTCGAACCCGCTGTCACCCCTGCACGCAGCTCACCTGGAGGCTTGCTGTTCGCCTCTGTCTGAGAGCGCGTCTTCTGCGCAGACCTTCGACTGGATGAAAGTCAAGAGGAACCCACCAAAAACAGGTGGGTGCCAAGTGGTGCCTATAACAGTGAGTGTCAAGTGCTAGTCTGTAAACAACACTGCCTTGTAAGTGATCCAAACTCTTTAAAATTGAAGTGATGTCAGACAACGCCTGCAGATGTTTTTCTGTGGGGGACACACAAGAAAATAAACACCTATAAATCCAAGTTGTTGAGTTCAATTTTTACGCTTGAAATCCGACACTTCCTTCCTGATTGTGTCATCTTCATAACTGTGTATTAGGAAAAGACATGGCTGGGGATATTTCTTATTGTATGTTACAGTTTTATAATATAAAACGTAGAGGATGCTATCTTTTAGTGTTATTTTAGAGCTATGACACATGTATTTCAACTGTTTTAAACTAGCTCACATTAATTGACTGCTGCGTAAAAGTTGCTCACAGGTCTAAAAGTGTGTTGTGAGAACATTCAAAGTAACTCTTTTATGCAAGTTCACGTTGATTTGGTTCTCTGTCTACAGGAAGGTCTGGGGAGTACGGTTATGGGGGTCAGCCGAACACGGTCCGGACCAACTTCACCACCAAACAACTGAC